CACGTGGGCACACACTCACGCTCACACACACGTACACGCACGCACACACTCACTCACACACACACGTACACACATGCACCACACACGTACACACATGCGCGCACACACACGCGCACACACACACACACACACACACACACACACACACACACACACACCACATACATACTATATACTGTACACAAAAACACATACCATAGCTATTAATTTAGGCTGTCTTGTTTTGCCTTTATCCAACTTATGTATTTTTTTTGCAGCAAATGTTTCTAGTGCTCATCGTTCTTTCCTCAGGCGAGCAGAGCTTGCTGCGTGCCGACCCGGCTCGATCCCATCTCTATCCTCTATTGGGACGAACATGGCGAAATCAAGTACGAATACACCTACCATGAAATGGTGGCGACAGAGTGTGGCTGTCGATGACGAAGGAAGACAACGTGTGACCGTTGTACCTGTCGATGATAACAGATGACACCGTGGATGACATACCTGTTGGTGACGACATATGACACCATGGATCTGCTGATGACGACATATTAAGAAACCGTGGACCTGTCAGTGATGACAGATGACACTGTGGATGGTATACCTGCTTATGGGGACATTTGACACCATAGACCTGTTGATGACGACATATGACACCGTGGACTTGTTGATGACGACATCTGACACCATAGACCTGTTGATGACGACATATGACACCGTGGACTTGTTGATGACGACATCTGACACCATAGACATGTTGATGACGACATATGACACTGTGGACCTGAAAATGATGATACATTATGACACCGTGGATGATTTAGGCGTACCTGTTGATAACGACATAATATGTTAATATTATTGATTACAACACATACAACCATGGATGAAAAAAACACCTTTTTATTTTAAAGAAGGTTGTTTTTTTTCACTCCCATCAACACAATTTAAATCATTTAGAAGGCGGGCTTCCGACTCTGCATGTCAGATGATACAACATCCCAGCAGGAAGATCGAAAGACTCGATAAAAGTGTCCTCTCGACTAGGGAATCGAACTCAGGCCTCCTGCTTGTGACAGCGAAACGACCAAGGATGGCATATATGTTGATTATAAAACATGGCACTATGAAAGTTATGCGTGAAGATAACTACAAATACAACGAGCGTGTTATGCATTGTAATGAAGAAGACAAGCAGACCGTGGTGGCATACACATCCTGAGGACAGAAGATACGAGGATGTTTTACAGGTTAATGACGTCAGACATCACCGCGGATGTTTTCAGTGAAGACTACGTGGGGACAAGACAACAAGACGCCTGCTGCCGGAAAAAAATGTGGTCTAGTAACTTTTTAAACAGTTTCATACAGACTATTAATGATAATATGTTTTTAAAAATTGCATTTATCAGTATAATAACGCTAATTCCCGCTCAACAGCAAGCTTTATGCGCTTTACAATCTATAATATTATTACCCCCAGCAGACCTGATAGCATTCTGAAATAATCTCAACTTCCTGTGAAGCATACAATGCAAACTACCACAGACTTTTGACACACTTTCCAATAAGGGTGTTTTGTTTTTAAAGTGTCACCAACCCTCTTTGTTAAAAAAAATGTTATGATGGACAAAAAGGAACAGACCAAACAAAAATAATTCATATTTCATCAAGATAGATCTAGACTAGAACCTAAATAGAATTTTCCTTTCTGACTACTTCCCCTTTCCCCACTGTTATCCTCGCACATGTTGATGATTACAGACAGTACAACCATGCAATGATGAACGTGCAGCAGACGACTGACTGATGATGATAACGTGATTGTTATATTATTATTATGATCATTATGATGATGATAACGTGGTTGCTATTATTGTTATTATTATTATTATTATTATTATTATTATTATTATTATTATTATTATTATTATTATTATTATTATGAGTTGATGCCACTAAAGCACGAGACCATAGCTTGAGTGGTTTGCCCCGACTGAGACAGCTTTTTCTGATCGATGGGAGGCTGGGCCTAGAGAATGTTAAAACAATATAGTGCAATGTATATTATAGCATTATTGTGATTCTCTATGACACAGGTTTATTTACCTGCTGTCACTTTGTCTTTTTCTTTGGTGCTAACTGGTATGCAAAAAAACAACAACAACATTTTAATGCAATAATCGGAAATAATCCACACCCATACTGCCCCCACCTCCCCCCCTC